AAAGTTCAGAAGACTCCAATGGGCAGGACACCTCAGAAGACATTCTGACGAACGAACAGTAAGACTGGTGTGGGAGGAAGTCCCAACTGGAAGGAGACCACGCGGACGCCCTCGTCTCCGGTGGCGAGATAATATAGCAGGAGACCTAAGCACTATGGGCGTGGAGAATTGGATGGAGGTTGCTCAAGACAGAAAACAGTGGAGGCATGTTGTCGAGTCGGCTAAAACCCACGAAGGGTTGTAACGCCACGGAGTAAGTAAGTAAGTAAAGAACATCAATATCAATGTAAATAAAACAAAAGTTTTTTTGAGAAAAAAATTCCCCAACAAAAACTTCCCAGACTTTTACAAATGGGATCTAAAGAAAATAATATCAACATAAATATTTTACTTAAAAATAAATTGGATAATGCAATTCATCTTTTATTTTTACTACCTCAAAAAAAATATATCATGTATTACTTTTAACACGTTTGTATAATAGGTACATTTTAACTCATTTACGACGTCCGGTATGGGTATAAATCGTTTTGAAAACGTAGGGAAATCCTTGGAGATTTGTATTCGTAATCGGTAATTCGATATTCATAGTCATTATTTTTGGTAATCAGAAAAAGCCACTTTCAATGTCAAGATCAAGAGTCAAGTGTGAAAAATAGATGATCTAAATAAAATACCAGATCACTTCTTATGTAAAAATATTATGATTACAAATACTTTTTCAACGAAATACTGCAATAAAATTTAATTGTTTCTGGCTGATGTGAGCTTGCTTTCAGTTTGCTTCTGTATTTATAAAATAAAATAAAAATTAAATTTTAGTTTTGTTTGGAATAATTACTTGACAATAATAATTCTAATTGGGTGGGATCCAAAATAATACCTAACCTAATCCTAATCACCGTAAAAACCTAATAACCGGTTTTTACTTTAAAAATAAAAAACCGGTTATAACCGGGACAAACAAAAACTGATAAAACCGGTTATTTTGAAGTAAAAAAACCGGTTTTCGGTTAAAACTGGCAGGTTTTTCCCATCCCTACATCAAATTGTTACCGTCTCCGCAAAATATCGAATCTTCATTTAACAGGTTGACAGTTCCATGCCTTTGGCTAGATGGTATTATACTCTTTTTATGAAGGTCGTTTATCAAAGTGTGATAAAAACGCTTTTTTTAGCTTAAATATTTATTTAAGAAATAGCATAACTCTAAAAAACGGTACAAAAAAATAGTCGACAACTTTACATAAATGCTAATAAAGAAAATTAACTGTAGTTTGGCAGAATACACCTTAAAAAAGCAGTCAGAATACAAATATTTCGCGCAAGCAAAACACTTTGTCCACACACGAGGATGCATATAGCCTATTGGGACCGTGCAAGTTCGGAACAGCGACACCTGGTGTCGTAAATCAGCCAAATTTACTGCGCTTTCATGTTAGATCGAGGTTACCGGATAACTGTCAAGGACGTGGCCCCAAAAAAAACTAAGAAGAAAAAGTAAGATTGAGGTTATGTCGGTATGTTATTAAAAGGTAAACGTTGATGTACCGTAAATACAAATAAATATATTATTGAATTACAGCATTACTGTTAATATGGATGCAATAATTAAAACTGGCTTTGAGAAAGTAAATCACCAAATAACTTTTCAACCAAGCACGAGTCAAAGGGAAAAGCTTTAGTAGTGGCAAATGTCAAAAAAGAATGGAAGAATTATGTGAAGTGGAAGAATTAAGAAAAATAAATTACCATAAATAATGCTAATGCATAAATTAGCAGGTTAAGCCCATGATATCATCATATTGGTTTGAACAATTAATTCTTTCCCTGTAAATTTTTGGACAGCGAATATATCTTAATGCATCTTTATAAAAACTTGAACTTGATGCATTTTTGAAAATTTCAAAAAAATAAAATTCAAACATTAAACTTGATTTTTGGGTTAAAATGAACTCTAAGTGAGTGTTATGAAACTAAAATTTACACTTAAAAATGAACTTTTATTTATTATTTATTTCAAACTGACTTTAAAATCGGGCGCAAGAATAATGCATAATTTAGGTTATGTCACTTATGCTTGTTTATAATATAAATCCACTTTTCTCTTTGTAGTAGCTTTGTGCTTCGAAGTTGGAAACGAATAAAACTTAAATTGACAATTTTTTGTTGTATTTTTACAATTTATAACACAGCATTTCCTAAATTTCATTTTCTTCAGTGACAGAAGTTGTAAATAAACAAAACGAATATGACAATTGACAATATAAATTTATGAAATCTATAATCTATGAAATGTACAGTAAAAAATGCAAGATTTCTCTACTACTCGCGCACGATCGTTTCTCGTATCCCCTCCAAGTACTTGCACGTCGCCAATAGCATTGGTTGCAGCAGTTTCTTCTCTAGACATTTTACTAAATTGTGTAAATTATTAGCAGGTATTACACAATCGCGTTTAATAAGCATATCTTTGATAATCGCCTTTCTAAATTCTCGTAATTTCCATTGATTTATTTGTCACTTTAGAATAAAGTCACAAGGTATTTACAACGACAACATTTAGTAAAGTATCAAAGGTACCTTTTGGTACCATTTCAATGACCTCCCTGAAAATGAAATATACGAATTACTTTGATCCGATACATCCATGAAGGATTTTCCTGCATTTTATTCTACTATAACCTGTGGTTTAAGTTTGTCTTCTCTTTTTTATATTAAACCATTACACCATTATAATTTTGCCTTGCAACAATATTACCTTTTTTTAATTTTATTTTAGTTGGATTGCGTTTCTTATTGGCTCAAAGTGTCCCAACTAAAAAGATTTGTCTGTACAGTAATGTTTCTGTCAAAGTGACACTATGATACCAGTTGTCCGCCTATAGTGTTCTACCAAAATCTAAAAATGGCTCTATTAATTCCATAACCACTTTAGAGTATACAGATGCACCAGGCTGAGCTTCCTTTCCAGCATAAACTGTATACTGCAAAGTGTAAAAAGGGTCGGTGCATAACTTAAAAATTTTAACCCCATACCGATGCCTTTTGTTTTGCAGGTACTGCCTAAAACTTAGCCTACCTTGAAATGGTACTATCGACTCATCTATGCACAGTGACTCATGGAATTACACAGTGATTAAACTTATCCACTAGCAAGTCAATAAGAGGCTGAACCTTGTGAAGCTGATCTCCGGGAACCTGGGTTGAGTTATCCGAAATACGAAACATGCTGAACATAAATATATATTTTAGTAATTAAAACCTAAAATATAAAATGTTATAATAGTACCTCAAAATCAACTCATCTGTGTGTTTTTCCAATAATGAACCAGAGAGGGCATATCTACTAAACCCATACACATAAATATGCCTAAAAAGTATGCATTTCTTGTCGATTTGTCAGTATATAGCTATTATTTTTTGCACTTCTCTTTATATTGGGTCTTCCAAGACATTGTTGAGCATAATTGTCTGTTTAATTTACTAACAGGGATACTATTCTTCATAAAAAAAACAAATAAAAGAAATCAAAAGGGTTGGCATGTTGCATTGTTTCTGTTAGATCGGGATATACACCCACTTCTTTGGAAATTATATTATAATTTATATTTTTAATCCTTTGCTGATCAGTTATTTGCCAATCTTCAGATATGGGAACATTCTCAGGTACTGGTTCTTGCTCATTATTTACCTTTTCATTTCTCAAAACTTTATTTTCACTAATTTCAATCTCACTGTTCAAATCTTCACTGTCTAGTGCATACTCTGGGTTCGCATCACTGTCATGAAACTCCGAAATAGACGATGATCCGCTTCATGATTCTATAGTCTCAAACAAATACAGTAATTTCTTATCTTCTTTGGAATCCATTATTACAATAATTTACAATCGCGACTGTATGGGAAAGCAACAACAGATAAGTAAACTACCTGTTAGAACTTGCAAAAAGCTTTTTCTATATTTTAAAATACTAATAGGATAGACATCTATCGTTAGCAACCCAAAATATTACCAATTTTAGTTTACAGAAATCTGCAGGTCGATAAATAATAGAATATAGGATTTTATTGTGTATACCAGAGGTGGCGCTCATGGCCCCTAAGAAAAACATCACTCCTGGACCCATGGGTACCAACATAAGTACTCAGGTTAAAAATAATGTGAAATGCTCAAAAAAATACTAATTAACCCCCAAAAAGGTTCTTACAAAAGACTAAATTAGAATAATAAATAAAAATCGTCTAGAGGAGCTGTAGCTAAATGGCAAGTTAACTGAGTACCATATGTGGTACTCAAGGCAGTCAACCTGTTAAAATCAAGAAACGTACCGAGTGAAAGAAGAGCTTCCAGGGCTAGGGCATCTGATCATTGACGATAGCTTCTTGCACTTCTTCAGCTAGCCTCTAGTCATTGTCGATCACTTCTTCAGGACAGGTAATTACACAGGCGAGACATGTAAGGTGACAAAGAGACAGGTGTGGCAGGTAAGGTGACAATTATTTGGCAAAGAAGAAGAGATCTAGAGATAAGCGACCAGTTCTTACGACCTTCTGGTCATTGTCAATCACTTCTTCGGGAAAAAAAAGGCAGCTAGAGATTAGCGACTTCTTCTTACAACCCTCTGGTCATTGTCGATCACTTCTTGTACCTCTTGTACAACCACAAAGTCAAACTAGGCTCTGATACCCCCCGTTGACCATTATAATCACAAACCTTGATACAGGTTACCAAAGTGGTCCAATGGTCTGAATAATTTTGTTATCAATCGAAATAAATTGAAATAAAATAATTATGTATTCTTTTTATTTAATACTACAAGCAAATTCATTTAACTCTTTTACATTTTCCTTAATACTTATTCAAATCCATATATAGTTTTTTCTTCACAAAACAATTAACAATTTCGTTAAATATTTAGTACTTTAATCTTGCAATCTCCTAATTTTGTCGTACAATATATATTTTAAGATGTATAGAAGTAGTGATTTTGTTACAGGTCGAGATGAAGGGCTTAAGTGGTCCTATTGAATTCAAAGAAGGCCGTCGTATCCAGTTTAAACTCGATTTGCTCAAATTAAAACAACCCGCTTTAGTCAAAGTTGGAGAATGGCATCCTGGAACCGGCGTGAATATTACCGATAGAGCAGCTTTATTTGAACCCGGGACAATGAATTTTACCCTTGTAGTTACTACCATTCTGGTAAGTTATAACTAATGCATTTATACGATTTTCTCTATTCAATTTATTTTACGCTAACTCATTAATATTGTGACAAAGAGACTGATTATAATGTAAAAATTAAACAAAAACCAATTTTACGGTAAAACAAAAATGTCGGATGGGAATTTTTTAAGTTTATTATCTTTAGCAGATTGGAAAGAGTGCCACGGCTTTTTTAATGGCTTTGGCATAAACCAATTAGCCAGAGTTTTTTTTAATTTATAAGTTATAAAAACAGCACTCTATAATAAAATGTAGATACATTGACTGTTCAAATTCTCACACACTGGAAAAAAATGTGAATATGTTATTAAAATTGTGTGTTTCTATAGTAATTTTTTTTAATATATATTTTTTTAATCATTTTTTGTTTGTTTTTTTTTCCTTACTTATAATATTTATATAGACTTTTACGCTGGAAATGAAATGAGAATCAACAACACATACTTTTCTCATATAGACCAACATAAATACACTTTTAACAATAATTGAGGCTAGCGATCAATGATATATTTTATAATCAGAAATCGAGTGATCAGCTAACAAGTACTTGATGTCAGAGCCCTAACATCTGCTAACCTGGCGACCGATAACAACCTCGTTTTATGCAAGATGCTACTAGAACGTCCACAACGAAACAGAAAACCCCCAATGCGCATCGAAATACACAATATAGAGTCGCTAGCAACAAAGAGTACAAAACTCCTTCATGAGAACATAATTACCAGCAAACTAAAACAGATCGAGTTACAACCAGAATATGGAGTAGAAGGGACTTGGTAAAAATCAGAAAATGCATCAACCATGCAGCAGAAAAAGCAATTGGAAAGCGGAAAATTAACACAAGGGCAATAAACCACACCAAACTGCGATTTTGTTAAAAGGTAAAAGAATTCTCTGAAGTAAAACGCAAATGCTATCTGAGATATAAACGCACACAATCGAAAAAAGCTCTCGCAGAATATGTTCAAGTAAGAAACAAAGTAAACGCAAGAATAAAATCAATTAAAAGAGATTATTGGGCTAAATTCACCAGCGCGATGTACTACGACCTACATGGTGCTCAAAAGAAAGTATGGAAAATGCTTCGGAACAGGAAAAAAAGAGTTAACGAGTTGGGGCAGACCGAGGGAGTACCTACAGAGACATAACAACAGCATTTTAAAGAGCTATATCATGCTTGAGAAACGCTGAATATAAACGAATACGAAGCACATATAAGTGCTACAATCAATGACGAAGAGGTAGAACCAAAGATCAAGAAACTAAAAAACAGAATTTTTTCTGTAATCACAACAAAATATCAAAATTTTCTGAACAAAAATCACCTGGAACAGATGGTATACCCAATGAACTTTTAAAATATTAAGGCACTGAACTTCGTTGGAAAACAGAAATTGAGTTTTACTATATCTTTGAAATATAATTTAATGCTCTCTCTATTTTTTAAACATTCTAGGATTACATGGCTCATATCACCATCGTCTCCGCATACACAATATGGGTTTTCATCCAGTACTATTTTACATTTGTAAAAGGAATCGTAGTATGATTAGATCTTTTTCTGTTAATAGTAACGATGAAGTTTCGTTTTGTCAATTTATGAAACTAGCTTTTTAATGACTATATATTCTAAAGTATATATAAACGGCGCTACTGAATTTAAGAGTTGCTTGTTCGGATTTTTTTTAAAAGTCAAATGGGTTTGTTTTCACCGATTTGAGTAGCTTACTTAAATCCAGATACGTGAAGTTTGGGTTGTAAAGCATCTCAATTTATTACATCCTGTCAATTTATTTTCCAAAATTGCTTATCCTCTCGAAAAATATTTGAAACATAATAATAATTTATTTGTTCCGATAAGCGCACAAAATATATCTTCAAGAGGGATAAAAAATATGTAGATTTTACTACAGGGCTAAACTATAAACACGAAATTTATATATAGAGTTCATAAAATGTATAAAGACAAAATTACAGTATAAAACTTTCTATATGATTTTTAGATTTTGTAATACTTTTAAAGGCTAGGTTTCTTCAAAAAAACGTTTTTTTTAAATAAATTTAATTTATAGTGTGAAAGATATTTAAAATCAAACTTTTTTCACGTGAAAGTACATAAATATAAACTACTTGAAAGTAGTAAACTTAACATAAATTAAACTACTTGAAAGTTATTTTTTGTTGTTTAAACACACCAAATTTTTTGGTGGGTGTTACCCAAACTCACCCAGTACTTCTGGAAAAGAAACTATAAGAAGGTATATCTGCTTCACCATTTAATCTACTGTTTTATGACTCTGGAAACTCACAACTCGTATCATTGTCTGTCTCTGATCTCTCTAAATTACTATTACTTAACAAATCTTTTAAACACATTATAGAAATTGGGGGCTTTGAAGTAGTAAATAGTTTCATATACCTGGGTTCCCCAATACCAAATGACAGAGGGTGTGACATAGAGATGCGTAGAAAGTTGACTATCGCTAGAAAGCTATGATGAAACTGGTAGCAATTTGGAAAAATTATTATTATTATTATTTTTAATATAAAATAAGCGAGGGCAGAGGAACTAAGTTCCTATTATGTCCAAAAACAAAGAAATTTCATTAATCACCTACTAGTAAATAACAAAATTACAAATTAAAAAATAAAATAACAATTTTATGGTTTAAAAGAAAAACAATATTTTAACTATAATATAAAACGGTCAAGTCTGTTTTTGAACGAATTGGTAGAGAGAGCGGAGACAATGTTATCGTTAAGGTTATTCCAGCACTCAAAAACTCTATTTGGAAGAAAGTTCTGTCTTGGTCTTGTAGAAAAATTTTCTTTCTTTAGTTTAAACTGATGACCTTTGAGGCGTTCATCTTGATTTATAATAAATATTTCATCGAGGTTTTCAAAATTGAATTTTAGTATTTTAAATGTTGTAATTAAGTCTCCACGTTGTCGGCCAAGTTGAAAAGTAGTTAGGTTAGCCATACTAAGTCTTTCTGCATAAGACGGTCTTCTCGGTCCCAAAGAAATTCGAGTGGCTTTTCTTTGAACGTTTTCCAACAAAGACTTTTTTCGAACCAGATCAGGATACCACGTTGGTCCAGCGTATTCAAGTATGGGTCTTACGTACAGAGTGTAAAGTTTAAAGAATGATTGCATTGAAACTCTCGAAAAACACCTCCGAATAAGATACAGTCTGGAGTTTGCACGTTTACAAATAGAGGTAATATGGTCGGACCAAGTTAGGCTGCTGTTCACGATAACACCAAGATCGTTATACGAAAACACAGATTCTAATGGCTGCCCATTAACAAAGTACGACACAAGTGGGTTATTTTTACCAATTCGAAGCACTACACATTTTTCCTCGTTTAAGGGTAGTAACCACTGGGAACACCAAGTTAAAATAAGTCCATTTGGAGGGTTAGCTCGTTTGTGATTGGATTGGCATATATTTTTGTGTCGTCAGTGTAGAACGATATTTTACTTGATACATAATAAGGAATATCGCTGGTGTAAACCGTAAAAACAGAGGTCCAAGGACAGAACCCTGAGGCACTCCACTTTCCACTAACCTGTCCTGTGAGAAAGATTCGCCAACTCTAACTTTGTAATATCGATCTGTCAGGAAATCATCTATCCAACGAAGTAACGTACCGCGAACTCCGAAATGTACTAGCTTATATAGAAGTCTGCGCTTAGGTACACGGTCAAAGGCTTTAAAAAAATCTAGATAAACAACGTCGACCAGCTGCGAAATGTTAAGGGATGACGTCCAGTCGTTAACACAATGTAGGAGATTGGTTAGAGTAGAGAGACCAGAGACAAATCCATGGTGTTGTGTTAGAATAACATGTTCTTGGAGAAGGAATTTGGTCATCTCCTCAGAAATAATAGCTTCCATAACTTTGGCAACTACTGGCAGCAAGCTAATCGGACGATAATTGTTGGGATCGAGTTTGTTGCCTTCTTTTTTAAATAGGGGTAATGGAAGCTAATTTCCAACTAGGGGGTAAGGAGTTCTGGATGAAACAAGTTTGCATAATTAACGTTAAGGGTATTGCAAGCGTATCTGAGCACCTTTTTAACAGTTTTGGTGTTAAACCATCTACCCAAATCTAAAAAATAGTTATCTAAACCAGGTGAAGCGGCGTGCGAAGTTTAATTAAGTGTTAGTAAAAACCTGTGAAAATGCTAAAGAGAGAGTTTCGAAAGATTCTTTGTCAGAAGAGCGTACAGTCTGGTTGGGTTTTTGAAGTAGCGGAATGGAAACTTTAGATGTCATGGACTAGCATAACAATACACATAAAAGAAAGACTAGTAAGGGCACTCATTTTTCCCATTGCCACATATGCATCCGAAACGTGGACCTTAAAAAAAAGTGGATAAAAGTAAACTGGACGTTTTTGAAATGTGGGTATACCGCCGCATGTTGAGAATATCTAGGATTGATGATCGCACTAACGTATCAATATTAGAATAACTTAAAGTAAAGGATCGATTACTTAAACAAATACAATAGAGATATTTGCTGTAGTTTGGACACATTGCTAGAAGAACAGATACGATGGAAAAACTGATAGTCGAGGGGAGAGTAAAAGAAAAGAGACCTAGGGGTAGATCTCCACGCTGTTGGGTAGATCAAACAAAAATATTAATTAACCAAGAGTTACATGAAACCGAACAACTAACCAATTACAGAGAAGGATGGAGGGAAATCATGAAAAAACTGTAAAGACCTGATGGTGTCACCACATCCCAAAAGGGAGTAAGACTGAAGAAGAGGAGGAACAAATAATTTTTGATGGACCAGAAATATTTTTAAAATCTGACAAACCGTAAACAGTTAAACAGACTGTCTGGCAATCGAAGCCGGATTCTCAGTCGATGCCTACTTTTAAAATAATATTAAGCAGATGTCTTATACCACTGTTACCAATCATAAATATTGGTAGGTAGAAAACGCAGTTAAATTTTTT